CTTTCTTCCGTCATTTTCTTTGTCCAATTTATTTTATAGTGTCGATCTCGTTAATTTCTTTATTCTTCATTGTTAGCTTTTCTTCTCTTTCCTCTTTCTCAGTGCGAAATTGATTGATGGAATGGTGACTATTATTGTCCTTCTTTGTTTATTGAACTAATAGATAAGAAATTTACAAGGGGACAAACAACTCTTAAACCTTTAAATTTTACTAAATTTTTAATATGTAACAGTACACTTTTTATTCACTAATACAAAGCACAGTCCAATGCGCAATAGTTCATGAAATATTAATGTTTAAAATGTTTTTTTTTCGATATCAATGATAAATAAATCATGCGCTTATGCAAAGAAGTTGTATGTTGTATTCATAAAATGCACTTGGTGCAAATTAATAATGCGTTTTAAATGTTTCTGTGACAGATATCATCCAAAAACGTGCACACATTATGACCATAATATTGATAGTGCACAAAATTGAAAGTTCCGACATGGTTCCGACACCGAAAATTAATTGTCATGTAGTGTATTTTTGTTAAATTAATTGTGATATACTTCTTCGTAATGTTATTATAAAATTCCATTTTTCCTATTTATAAAATACATAATTATAGTACATAAATAAACTTTATTTTACAGAATTTTAAAACAATTACGCATACAAAAATTTTTTAACGTTAATATTTCATAAAATGTTTAGACTGAGTTACTGTACCTTGTATTAGCGAATGGGGTGTATTATAAGTCGTATTAAAAAATTACCAAAATTCAAGGCATCAAGGGTTAATTGTCCCCTTATTAGTCCTGATAAGACAAAAGCCCGGGGATCGCGAGGCATTCTCCACGTCGCGGAACGGAGCTGGCGATCGCCACAGCACGCTTCCTGCCGGTTTCCACGTCAGCGCCAGCGGATACACATGGATAACGCGCGCGCGGGGCTATATATAAAAAGTCGCGTGTGCTATTTATACAGCTTAGTGAAACTTCAAACGTTGTCGAAGTTACGCCATACGTATAAAGTCGCCGTCCGAAGGAATCGGTTACACGCGTCACCCTTTTGTAATTGATGCCGGCCGCGTCTATTTTTGCCGGCGTCGTGCCATTTTCCCACGCAAGGTGTCATCCGCGCGATCGAATCTCATCCCTTCGATCCCAACTCTTTCTCAATCGCCATTAAATCACACGTTTCGTTTTCTTCCTTTTACCGAACGCAATTTGCCAGAACTTCCCAATGTCTATTTCCTGACACAATTTCTGTTTCTCACGAAATATATCAAGTTTCTTTTTTCTTCATTATAGTCGTCACCGTTCTCTCGGCTTATTCGAATCGACTTTAGTTGAAAAAGATAAAACGTGGAATATTCCGCGCGATATATGTGGGACATTATAATAATAAAGCACCGACAGAACTCGGTATCGTCCGTTCGATCTCGTGCCGCGAGATATACGACAGGAAAGCGTCTATTAATGGCACTTGTCCGATGACGATAAGATAATTTCGACAGCCGTTCCATTAGTCACAGGTGCAAATGATTCCTCGCGCACAGCCTCCGGCACGTATATACGCTTTTTGCCCCGTGTCACGTGGAATAATCTCCGTCAACGTCAAAGCCGCGTAAATCTATCCTGGCGCTATCGCACGCGCTATCGGAGTATTCCAAGTCAAATTATTCTCGAAGCGTGGTAAGTGCGCGGCACTCCGCGAGAATACCGGTCTCTATCGAGGCAGTAATCGATCGGCGATCATAACTTATGCAATGCGCGCGCCCGTGATCTTCCATCGGTCGCTTGTCCCGGAGAGTAGGTCGTCGATATTAATACCCCAACAAGTCGTTTCTGCGGCGTATATCACGCTAATTGCGGCCCGATACGAATTCGTGAATGTAAATAACTCACGAGGGTCGGGGTAATCATCCGATCGATATTCCAGCTTGAATCGGCGATCAGCGCGTCACGCGCACGTGAATACGTAGATCTCATTCCTTTCTACGACATCTCTCTCGTAAAAAAGGTTTTGCGACTGTGACGTCAAATCTATATGAAATTCAAATAACTTTATTTTAATTTCATTGTCAATTTCCATAATCGCAATTCGGTATCGATATGTTTAAGCATTAATGAAACATTCTGAGGACTCCTAATCGTTTCTCCTCGAGTCAAGGATAGACGGAGGCATTATTTCATTTGCGGGTCGTTGTGTCGAAGAGGCCACTGAATCGAGTTTTCCAATCGTCACTATCTCTCTCATCAGGCCTCTTTGTTTGCGATCAATTATCGTGTGCTTTCACTGATCGATCTTCGCGAATCGACGTCCTCGTCGGAGAAAGTCACGCCAAAGCCTTAGAATTGGTAAATAGTCGTCTCCTGCGTACCGAGGCTTCTCCTAATATGAACAAATACAAGCGAATACAAAAAATCATTCGTTATACTATATTGTTTACCTGTGTGATCCAAAAAAATTAATAAAAAAGAAATACACTAACAATATATTTTATTATATTTTTTGTTTTTACATATTTGTATATGTACGTAAATCTAAGTTATAAAAAATTAAAAAATCCGTCATCACATCCATACTAATATAAATTATATTAATTAAATTACATATATTTATAATAAATTATAAATTATATATTAATAATAAATTAATTAATTATAATTAATTATAAGCTATAATTATAATTATAATTATTAATTATTAATTATAATTAATTATAAATTATATATTAATATAAAAGATATTACCCTAACAGCACTAATATCCTGTCTCTATATCTATAGAATATAATAAGGATGTACTTAATATACTGAGAACATCCTTATAATATTTTATACTTTACGATATCCTCTGAACATTCTCAGAATATACATTTGTTGTTAAGGTAAAATTCTGAAATAAAAAATTTAAGGAATATACACGTATCTAGATGTCTTAAATTAGTTGTCGCGACAATCTCGATATCAAGGGCTTAGCTGCAAATAGCGTCGATGAAGAGAAGCCGAAGACGCCTTCTCTCAGGTAATACCGACTAGAGTCAGGTTTCCGACGTAATACCACGGCAAATCCGCGTGATCCTTCTAGTTTACGGTGAGATTCGGGGGACATAAATGAAATCTCGCGAAACTCGTATCCGCCGACGGTGACGGCACTTCGTCGCGAGGTCGCGCGCAACAATGCAAACTTAACGTCCAATCTGCTCCGTGCATGTCGATGAAACTATCTTTTCCCCGTGCCGTCGCGTGGGAGCGCCTTTTAAGGTTTGACACGTAGGTGCGAATGTCGCGCTCAAACAATCACTCGAAAGCTGTTGGCGGATTTTATTGCCGTATACTAGGCCTTGACTAGCCCCTATCTCCTGTGATTAACCGTACATATGTACGTATTATTACACACGCTGTGATTGCAATAAATCGATAGAATGAAACCGATGTGCGTGAAAATTTATTATTAGAGGTATCAAACAAGTAAGAATATCGGTTCCATTGCATTTGTCTTTGATGTACCCAAAAGATATCTAAAATTATTGAAATATGAAAAAATAACAAGTAACAAGTAAAAAGGGGCTTTGAGAGTACAACGTGGTTGAGGGTACATAAGTTAATATTATATCGATCTTTAATAGCTAATTGGATACATAATTATACATCGCATGGATGAGGCTGGTTCAAAGCAGAGTCCGAGTTCAGAGCGAAAAGCCCGATGTACAATTATGATCCAAATTATTACAGGTCGATATAAGATCAACTTACGCACTGTTAACCGCGTTGTATTCTCAAAAGCTCTTTTTACTTGTTACTCGTTAATTCATTATCGAGAGTCCCTCTATAGTTATTTATCCATTTATCGAAAAAGTAACATTGTAAGACTGATGAAAACATAAAAAGAAGATTATTATTAATCTTAGCAAATGAGCCTTTTTTTCCTTTGTTTTAATTTAATTAATTTGAATATGTAGTAAGTAAAGATCAGTAATACCATGCTTTTTTATTTTTCGTCAAAAATATTTATAATTATATTACTATCGTAAACATAATAATAATTATATGTAGTAATATATTTATTTAATATACAATAATATACATATATATTTTTTATTTATTTATATTTCGATAATAAAACATAATTATACATATATATTGAATAAATACATTATTATCGTATTAGGTTTATATGAGTTTTATATGAATAAATAAAGTATAGATTATATTATTATTCACTAATATATATAGCCCATCTTTTATAAATATACCAATTTCACTTGTATCTATAGAATTGGCTGCATCATTCATGTCCGCGTAAAAAGCGACAGTATGATCCCAAGAGGCAGGTCGGTTCCCCTTTCAGCCGATGCTATCCGCGTCTCGTTAACCGCGCTTCCTGATGCTTCGATGCGCGGTGCCTTTGCATCAGCCCTACGCAAACGCGCTCTTGTATCCGCAGCAAAGGAAAGTAACTAACGTTTGCCCCCCTCGTTCCTGATGCCTAAGTGAAAGCACAGGCCCGTTTATTTGCTACGTTTTATAGTTGCCTGTGCACGTTACAGCCTTGGACGTTTTCACGCGCGACAACGTTAGGTCTGTGTGCGCCTCGCCGCGCCGGGTCGCGTTTTTCTTCTACGGCATAGGTATTCGGTGGACACGCACGAATTGGATGTGCAGATGTTCCGCGAAATTTCAAATTTCAGATTATTTACTACCACGCGGAAGCGTGCGCCTCGTACGAATATTATTACATATAAATCGTCATAACGTCGAAGCGATAGTTTCTATTCTCTCCTTTACACGATAAATAATAAAGCGCTTGTTACATAATATGGATTCTTTTAAAATCTCTCTTCAAAACAGATTGATTGAGATTCATCAAAAATTGATGAACCTATTATCCCAATTAAAATAAAAAGTCTTATAAACGCAGCATAAAAAAAATTACACAATAACTAAAAACGTATGTATTAAAAAAAAAGAGACATTGATTAAAAAATTAAATTGTTTTCTTTAAGGGATTTGTCGGATCATCCTGTAGCTCGCTCTGCAATTCAATCGTATGTGAATCAGCTGTGAGAGCGGCATGTGCACGTGCGAGTTCACGGGGAACGTGACAGCAAGGTGCACCAGTTCAAGGAGATGCAACGTCGACGACGCGACGTTCGAGGGAAATTTCCTTTCTCCCGCGTTCTCGCGTGTATACGGAAACGAAGAACTGCATATCAACGCCGATTCTCCACGACGTGAGGCTCGTAAAAATAGTAACGTCGGTGTGCCGAGCTGCCGAGGAGCCGAGCATAACCGCGGCTCGACCTTTCGCATACGCGCGGCTATTTTCTATTCCATTGTATCGTCGAAATATTAATATCGCGACACTTAATGAGTATTTTATCGCGCGCGTGTATTTCAGTAGCTATCACATTATAATCGCAAATACCGGGCGCTTTATTTTTCGCGAGACAGAAGAGTATTATTCAATTATGCAAAAAAAACTTTGTAAATATTTTTTATGTAATATAAATGCTAAGCGTTGACGTCACTGTAATATTTTGCGAGAGATATTACGTATGCATGTAAAATGTGTAATATAAAAAATATTTTTATTTTTATGATTACTAAAAATAATATAATTAAAACTAAGCGAATAAGCTCGTTGCAGTCATCGCGGAATCTGCTAGGACATCGCATTTAACTTTTTTATTATAATTGTTATATTAAATCACTAATATCTTTCTCTTTCTTTCTCTACATTAACAATTAAAATTATTATTATTATTTAAAATTATTAATAATCTTTTACAATATCTTCACTTGCCTTGAGAATAAAGAGAAGACTCAAAGGAGTCTTCAGTTGATCGATGATGAAAGAGGCTAAAAATTGATCGTTACCTTCTTACAGTAACAAATTAACAATTCCATTTAATTTTAACGCTCGGCTATCACATTTCCCTTGCGCGCGACCTTTGCGCGGGATTATCAATCATATCTACGACTTTCGGCGAGAACGACAAACGCGTGCCGGCAATCTCACCGAGCGATTACGGAACCCGCGTGAATGCGCGACGGACGTGGTAACCGTGAAATCTCAAGCGGACGACCGTAATTATGACTTTCCTCTCGACGCGGGAATATCGCAATGTCACTGGCGACAATCTCCGCTTGCGAATCCACGTGCGTGGCCGTGCGTCGTACGCGCGACGCGACGTGCGTATATATCTTTTATTCGACTGTACATATAGCATTTACCTTACGTCAAACGAGAAATGTTGAAGCTGATATTTCTTGAATATCCATATTTGGTATCGAGACTAATTGCTAGAAGATAAATATATAGATAAATATTAATAAGCGCCAATAAATTAAGTAGCAATTTTGATTTTTAAGATTTATAATTGTAAGGAGTTGTGGAAATAAAATTTTTATTATTTAAAATAACAATATTATATTGCTAAGAATTTACAGAATCAATCATATTATTTTTTCTAGTCTAGATTTTTATCGGATATTAATATCTACCTTAATAATATTAATAGTTTTATGATCAAAATTAGGTATATATTTTGGGCTTGCACTTTTCTAAATGACAAAATATGAAGATAAAGAAAATTGTCGATATTATTGATATATAATAAGCTTGATAATACACTTTATTTTAGTTCAGCTTTAGAGAGAGTTACAGTTAACTTCTTTTTAATAAAGCAAAATGCGAAAAGCATTTTGTAACGTTGTACTGAAAGTTCAATTATTCCAAAGATAGGCAACACGGAATGACGTATATAGATAATTACTGAATAGAGATAACTGATTGTAACATGGAGAACTTGCAGCTATGCTACTCCATGCCAACGCAAGCTACGCTGCTGGAGCACTTCTAAGTGCTTACCCACTTGGTCGACATGGGTGCCTATTTCGCTCGCGATCGATGCTTCGGATCGATACCGCCACGTGTTGCAAATGGACATTTAATTATGATACCGGTCGTCCGTCGATGACACCGTCCTAGGTCGTTCCGCTGTGCCGCAACCCTCCATGTAGATCAACCACGTTGTACGAGAACGGAGCGAGACGAGAGAGGAAGGTCGACGTACATCGAGTTATTTCGAGCCGCTTCGCTCATCCACCTGAATAAATCATGGCATTCGCGCTCCGAGGGTCCCAGCAACGGGGCTATTATGATGGGGGGAGGGAGGGAGGACCGACCTTTCGGATTAATTGCCCGCGATGGGGCCTTCTCGACTCGCGACGTCGCGATATTGTGAAATGAGATTTCGCCTCGAAATCGAGGCTCGGAGATTGACGAGAGATTTGTCTTCGAATATTTGACGAGACGCGATTCACAATTCCATGCATATATACGAAGACTAAACTGCGAAAATACTCTCAAACAGCGATATAAAGTATTTAAATATGAGAATATTCTTTTCTAAGTAAATGTAAAATAATTTCTAAACACGTGCTTGCGTGTGTATTTATATTTAATTTAATAAATTAGTATATTAAGTTATATATTAACTAACTATGTCAATAAAATATATTAATATATTAATTTAAGTGATTAATTAATGCCATTTTTATTTTGATTCGATATCTGTCATTATAAACGAAGTCTCTTCCATTCCTCGATTATTAGCTTTATCCTTGAACTATTGGATTCTTGCATGTTCGGACAAATAAAGTATGTACGAGGTCTGCGAAGTAAAAGGCGGCCTTGATAAATTTCGAACAGAACGATCGGGTGTCGAGTTTTTACAGATTACGCGCTCAATGCACTCGCGCAAAAGGATCCTCCATCTCTCGCTGTAAATAAACGCGTTCAAAACGCGACGTTTAAAAAATTACATGTTACAACACTTCTAGTGTGTTTAAGAGACATGAATGGTTGATGATAACCGAAGGTCTTGGATGAATAATCGCCATTTGTCACTCGCTTTATCCGCCTCTATGAGACTATGCATACAAAATTATGATTTATTGCGTCGATATTCGCATGGAAGATATCTCTCTTCCCCTAAACTTTAAATTCACTTTTTTGACTTAACTTGCTTCAACTTTTTCCTACCAACTCCGCGCGATCTTGGAGCGTAATACATCTTGTATTAGATATTGTTCTGCGATGCGCATTTACGGGAAACGTGAAGTTTCACAAACGCACGACGACGCTGTTCAACATTTTTATAACTCTGCCAAGATAATTGAACGGTAATTACGGCGATTCGAATCGCGGAAGATGCTTCTTTCCTCTAAATGTTGCTTTCTTTGCTACACACATACACACACACATAAATCCCGCAGGAGTAATAAAAATATTACGCCACTGCGGGAAATACTTCGCGTCTAATTACGCGTTACGGTAATACATTATTATTACACGCGTATTAATTATTGCACGCACATTACTCGCCGAAAGAATTCCTCATTGAAGGATTCATTATGCAGAAACGGATGCGAAGCGGATCCGTGCGTTCAATTCTGTCGCAATCTTCCGATATGCCAATGATTTTTGCGTCGCTATATGCCGCGGCGTGAAAGAAAACGACTTTGTCACACTGAGGAGGATCTATCCCCGAAGACGAAGAAGATGAATACGCGTTCGTATTCACAGTTGTTGATGAAGCTGATGATTCTGTGCAATTCCAGCCCCGAGGGGGAATTGCTCCTAGCCGCGAGAGAGGATCGCGTCACGACGCTCGATTCTTTCCACTTTTCCGATTCGGGTCAAGCGGAATCGGCCGCCAATCGATATGTACCATCTGGCTGAAGCGATGATGACGACGGTACATGTATATGGGGCTCTGAATGAGCGGCACTATAAATCATAAGGCAGGTAAATAAGAATGACGACCTCGCACTACGTATGTATACCCACCGGCGATCAGAATACAACGAACTTCCATGAAAGAGTCAATTAAATTCTCGGATTAGCCTGCATTCTATCTCTATTCTCCGAATTGGGAGCATCGAGTGTCCACGATGGAAACGTATTACGCACGGTATCTATTGGATGTATCCGCGACGATGAAATATGTCTTTCTGTGTCTGTGCTTTTTGTCGGCATGCGATATACTAACGTTCACTGAAATTTACCGCAAACAAAGGAAGAAACCTAAAAGAATGTGTTACGTGATTCAGTCAAAAAAGAGCTGCGTTACCAATCGCGCTGGTCACTACAACCCTCGGTTGTCACACTCGGGGTCAAAGTGATTCCAACCAATTTTCAAACAGCTGCATGCTGTTCAAAAACTAATAGTTTAAGTGGATCGCAAAAAAATCTATAATTAAGTTTAAACATTGTAGAATGTATTTTCATTGTAAAAAAATAACTTTTTGAGTAACGTTATGTTAAAAAAAAAATTTTTTTTAATGTTTAAAAAAGAGGTGTAACAACCGAGGGTTAACGACCAACACGACCAGTTATTCTCAATTTAAAAAATATCTCTTCTTCGATCTGTAGAAAACGTCGGAAAACGTAAAGCTGTCGGCTAAAGATCTCAAATACCGAATCTCATAATTCGTGTCTCGGTCTTTCTTCTTCTTCACCTCGCAACAACTTTAACTTTCTTTTTTCTCCGACCATTAAGAATGTTTTGATAATAAAAAAAAATTCAAATGGGATTGAAGGCGGGCCTGTTCATAGAAGGAAGGTATTTGCGCGTACAAGCACTTTACATCACCCTATGCTCATTACGTATCGCATTCACGTCGCGCGCCGGTCTGTTGATTTCGATAGCATCGAGACCCGAGCCGGAAAATAGCTACGCACATAAATAGATTAATCGAGCGCGGTCTACGTCGTTCTTGCCCCCCCCCCCCCCCCCCCGAGAGTGTCATAACCGATTCGCGCGCGGTTACGAAACGGCCGAGTGATCGCCACCCGCGAGTGACGGCCGGGACGGAGCCGAGAAAATCGCTCGGCTCCGCGCGAGCGCGTCGCACCGTTCGCCGACGTAATAATGATGATCCCTTTAATCAATTAGCTCGACGGCGAAACCATGAGGCAACCATTGCACCCGACGAGGGGGGCCGCGCGCACGAAGACGACGCGCCGCGCCGCGCCGGCCCCGGCCGCAGAAAATGCCGCGGCTCGTTCCCCCGACCACGGCGACCACGCGATATTAATTATCTAGGGCACAGAGATGCGCTCGCGTACAATGCGCGACCGGGGCGGGGGGGGGCGGGGGGACGGCCGGTGCCATGCCGCTGGCGAATGCAGCGTGACTTTCGCTTTTCCTGCTGTATATTCATCTGTCTACCGCTTTGCTGCTGCTGCTGCTGCTGCTGTTGCTGTGGTTGCTGCGCGCTCGCCGTTCCGCCGCGCGTGCCTAAACGCTTGGAAAAACTACGCAGCGCGGCTTTCTTCTCGGGCCGAGAAGAACGAGAGTCTCTCGCACTTGCAAAATGCTTGTGCTAACAAGGATGGCGACCTGGCGACTACGACTGCGACTGCGCCTCTTCGATCATCACCGAAAGATGCGTCACGACTCGCTGCGTTCTTCCATACTTTTGTGAATAGCAAAAAATCGCGCACGGTCTCTGCCTGACCCATTTTTCCTGGGCAATTAATCTCGGCGTTGACGTTAAATCGAGATTAGTCAAATTCAAGTCACCCTGTTGAACTGGATTCTTCGTAACGCGGCCTCGCGGATATCCGTGTATTTAATAATTACGTAACAACGAGATATATATCTCTTTTGTTAAGTCATCAAGAGTCGAGAACGCCGAATTTTGCGAGAGAAGAGAGACATTGGAATTTGACGAAGGGAACGGACTGCGAGGATTAATCGAACGTCAGCACACCGTACCGGTTCTCTAATTTACGAACGCCATAATTGCGGCGTGGGTAAACGCGGAAAAAATCCATTCGTGGAACTTCATTGAATAGCCGTTCTATAATCTTGTGCGGCCATAGAAACCACTCGCCGCCGAGCGGGCCGAGCCCGAACGCAAATTGCAGGCCGCATCCGATAAGAGCGCATCTCTGTGCGCGGTCGTCGATCATGAGATACGATCCAGCGTCTCATGGAGGATCCTCGAGGTGCAATTGATCCCGACCGGCTACAATTAACCGCGGATTTGTCACTCGCGACAATTAGGCGCATCTTGTGTTAATCAGAGACTGACGAACAACAATCCGTGTAACAAATGCGCAAATATGTTTATTTCTATCAATGAAGATTAATTTTAATCTCGGTTTAACTTACTTTTTATCCTTTTCTAACTCTTAGAACTAAAAAAGGATAAAAAGTGAGTTAAATCGAGATTAAAATTAATCTACATTGATAGAAATCGATAATAATGTTGAATTTAGAATAAACAACATTATTTTCGAATTTAAAAGAAAAAAGAAAATAAATACATGTAGACTCTCTTCTTTTGTATCAAAACGT